CCTTACGGACCCACGCCACCTCCATCGCCACCAATGAAAGCGGCTCCAAGACAGGAATTTCCCATTAAAACGGCAATGGCCTTGGGGTCCTCCTCAACACTGTGCACATAAGAGTCCCCTGGGTCACTCTTACACTAGAAAGTTCTTCCTGGAGCACTGCCCCCACTGTCTGCCATTCACCTCTTGGCGGTACAGTCTACAGCAGTCTGGTTTGGCCCTTGAGAAGAAAATGCTTTGCAAGTGATATTTTGATGCCTCATTCTAATCATGTTTCTGCTGGAAATTGATGAACAGTCACTTCCTACATTGCCTTCTTGCCTTTTAAAGTTGTCTTGATCACTGGGATTTGACCTTGAACAAGCAGTGAGACTAATCTCATGCAGAGATGTGTCACTTCAGCCACCTGGCTAGCTTCTGCCTACCTCACCTCTACCTCCAAGGGGGACCTCATCTCCTAGTTTGGGGAACATGTCTCTGAAGACCCTTTGTGCCAGGTTATTCCTGGCAACTACTCACATACATGACACATTGAAGCCTTCGGCCAATTTTTTCATCCTTCTGTTTAACTAAGACTGGGTAGTTGACCGTGCCAGCCTTCTAGGTCCCCTGACACCCATCAGCCGGGCCTGTTTTCTCAATGGGAAAACAGGGTCTGCTTCAGAAAGCAGAGGCACATGCGTTTTAAGCCAAACAAAATGCCTTCCGTCAGCTAGTAGAGAACATTCAGACATGAACATTAGGACCCTGATGACTTCAAACTTTTTTTTTTTTTTTTTTTAATTCTCTATCCCTTTCCTCACCCACAGTTCTTCTCCTCCTTTTCTCTCCATGGTAAGAGTTAGTCATCGGAGCCAGTTGGCCCTCCGAACATTCCTCTGGTGTCTGGAAATAGGATCGCATGCAGGGATCAAAAAATTTATTTTCTCTCGCTAACCTCATAAAATGCAGCCTTCTTGTGCCTATGGTAGATTTTCCTTTTTTTTTTTTTTTTTTTTCATATCTGTAACTTCATGCCCATGATCTGACCAGCTAGATTCAGAAGACAAGTCATGCGCTATTTGTCACCATATGTTACTTCGAGTGGTCATACTAAAAATGTGCAAAGAAATAATTACAGTGGAGGGTAGAGGTGCAAAAAGCTGTGGGTGGGGGCTCTCTCCGTACCAAAATCTCATGCCACCTTCCTGCCAAATGCTTCAGAACTATTATGCTGTTAAAGAAGACCTATCTCTTGCCGAAAACAGTTTGGCTCAGTGGATAGAGCGTCTGCCTTTGGACTGAAGGGTCCCAGGTTCGATTGCAGTCAAGGGCATGTACCTTGGATGTGGGCACATCCCCAGTAGGGGGTGTGTAGGAGGCAGCTGATCGATGTTTCTCTCTCATAGATGTTTCTAACTCTCTGTCCCTCTCCCTTCCTCTCTGTAAAAAAAAAAAACAATAAAATATATTTTAAAAAAGAAGACCTATCTCGCTGCTAATGGTGACCAGCAAAGCAGTGCCCCCTGGCCTTCATTTCTTGAGTTTTGCTCAGTTGCTAGCCATGAAGGCTCTATTCTGCTCTCGTCCCAACTGGCATGGAGTTCCAAAGTTAACACTGGAGAATTCCCAGGGCATGTCACCTCCAATTCATCAACATGCAGTCCTGGAGTCTACACATTCTTACACTTAATAAAAACAGGAATGAGGGAGAAGAGTGAGGAAAACATTATTTTCGAGGAATTTACTTGATAGCATCTTAAACTCATGAGCCAGAGCTGTCCTGGGTCCTTTGAATCCAACCGTGATGTGGAAAGGAAGATGGCTGGGGAAGCCGCATGTGGTGGACAGCTTCAGGCAGCAGCCGTTGTCCAATGCCTAGAACAGCTCAACTATTTATCGTATTGTGAAGAGGGAAAATAACCTCGAAAAGAAACAAGGGCTCAGACAACTGATGTGAAAGGTTCTTGTCCGTCTCCCAAGTCATGTGTTCCTCTTTTATTTTGACTGAAGATGGTGCCGGGTATGGGTTCTTTTTATCCCCAAGAAATCTCACCTAATATTGCCATTTGGAAAGGGAACAGATAGGTCACAATGGAGGCTGATTCTTCATACACATGATGCATACATTCCTGAGGATAATATTTAGTACTATTATAATAAATATGTTCCATACCTTGCAAATAATAAGAGGATTTTTTTTTCATACAAAGGAAAAACTTTGTCTTTTTGGGTATATCCAACCTTCTTCTGATACTCTCAGACCTAATTAGTAGTGAAAACTGATTAAATCAGAAAATTCCTTTAAAATGATACATACTAGCACATACCTTAAAACTTTAGTTGAATGTGCAGCTATAGTGACTGACCATCCTGACTTGCCAGGGATGAGCAGCTGGGCATCCTGTTTATAGCACATAAGGGGACACATCCACATACCCTGTTTTGAACCATGATGTTTTTTTTGAAGAAGGATCTACTACCTGGAATTCTACATGGACCTTCTTTCATGAACCTCTCCAATAATATGGCCTATGATTTCCCATCTCAGCTTCTTTGAAGTCAAGCAAGAATAAAGATACTTGTGAAGACTAGAATCCTACATTTAAAAAAACAAAACAAAACATGTTTTTATTGATTTTAGAGAGAAAGGAAGGGAGAGGGAAAGATAGAAACATCCATGAGATGAGAGTGAAACATTGGTTCACTGCCTCCTGCATGATCCCACTGAGACTCAAGCTCAAAAGCTGGGCTTGTGCCCTGACCGGGAATCAAACCAAGGACATCTTGGTGCATGGGACAATGCTCAGCCACTGAGCCACACCAGCCAGGGCAGAATCCTACATTTTTTTTTTAAGGTTCTTTATTTATTTTTAGAGAGAGGGGAAAGAGAAGAGAGAAAGAGAGAAACATAGATGTGAGCAAAACATCAATTGGCTGTTTCCTGCACACCCCTTACCAGGGGTCAAGCCCACAACCCAGGCATGTGCCCTGACTGAGAATTGAACCAGTGACCTTCAGTGCACAGGACACTGCCCAACCAACTAGGCCACACTGGCTAGGGCAGAAACATATATTTTCACAATATACTCGCACCTTGTGTAGTTGTCACAACCCACTTATGTTGATAGAAAGGTTTTTGCACTAATTTTGATTTTTTTCCAAAATAATCAATGAACTTTCAAAGCAATGACTTTTTACACTCACATTATAAAATATTTCATTGAATGACACAATTCCAATAATAAGTGCAATTGGCTTAAAAAGGTTTGGAACAAACACACTGACCCCATAAGCACCCAGTTCACCCCCTGGAGCAGAATGTCCTGAGTGTCCTTAGAGAGAGTGGGCTGAACCAGCTAGAGGTGCTCAGCATGCCACAGGGACAAGATACGGGTTTCACATGCATTTCATGGAGTAATGGAATACATCAATTAATGCAGAGAGTCGATAACATGGCAGCAAATTAGAAAACTCCCACACTAAAGTATGTCAGCCCATACTACAAAAGCGTGAATTTTCTTCAAGGAGCTAGCTCATTGGGATACTTAACAAGCCCATTTTAGTATAAATCTGCCTCCAAGTGCCTTATTATTTCTGGGAAATGCAAATTCATGCTCAGGCCCCAAATCCTACGGTTAACCAGTTACATTTCGACCAATATTGAACTCTAAACAGTTCGGCACATAAGTGCTTGGGTTTGCTCTAGAAACTGCATTGGGGGTGGGAGAGGATTCATCCAAAAGCGTTTTAGGCCTTTTCTTCAGGTAGACAGGATTGATGCCTGTGAAATAACTGGAAAAGTATAACCAATTAAACATAACCAAGTGCCATACATGGGTTGTGGTCGCTCAGTGCTACAGGCAGTTGAGAAGCGAATGGTTAATGTTGGCCAAAGGTCCTACAGGCCTTACTTTGCTTCCAACAAGACTACAAACCCTCCTGAGTTTTATGAGGCCACTACACAGTTACCCTGGACACAGCGTTAGACAGAGGCTGTCACTCCAGGCACCTGTCCCTCCACCATACCTAACACCAATGGAAGGAAGCTGGCACGGATTTCCCTCCACTTCCCGCCGCTCCCTCACCCCTTCCCTGGGTCTCCAGCGTGGACGCAGGAAGGAGGAGGAACCCAAAATGATTCCTCCCGCTCCACCCACGCACACCACACTCCAGGTGCAGCCTGCGCCTCAACAGGATGACTTACGCTCTCCTAATTAGAGGCCTGAATTAAGACCACAGTGTATATTCGGTAAAAGCGAAATTACTCAGATATGGAGAACTTCTATGCATAAAGTAAAATTAGCTCCTTCTTGTTCTTTCTATATGTCATACTTGCCTCAATGTGGCCCCATGCCAGGCGGAAACCAAGCCAGTTTCAGAAGCGCTTTTCGCAGAGATTGTCTAGTTTGCATAAATAATTCCTTTCATCGCCATTCAACCCTCGTGTGTTGGCTGAGAAACCAGTGGGGCCAGAAGAAAATCAATGGCTGTAGGAACGACCCAATGAGGTTCCCAAGTGATCACAGGCCAGCCAGCCTGAGCCACAGGTACATGCAACACTGTATTGCTCAGCACCCACCTGTGCCCACCCTGCCCTGACCTGAGGGTGCCCTTTCACTCACCTGACCAGAAACTGCATCTCAAACCTCACTCCCCCCAACCCAACCGAGGTAACTGCACAGACCCACCAGGAAGCACACGGCACGCACTTCCCTGGCATGAGATTCACACTGGCACAGCCCCAGGAAGGCCTCCGTCTCTCCCACATCCCTAGAAGGAACCTCGGCAGCAATGTCTCACCTCCAGCTCTCTTCACTAACCAAACCACAAAGGGGGTCGGGCGGAACAGGGCTGCCAAAACGACTGCTCGAAATCACTTCACTAAAAACTTGAACAACCCAATGACAGCAGCGAACCCAAGCAGCAGTGACTATTTCTTCCCAGGAGTGGCATTTCTCATCACACGTTTAATCACGGGAGGCAGGTGGCAAGCATCCCCACCACCTACGCACGTCACTCACCGATGCAGGCGTGGACCCTCACAGACAGCTGTGTCCTCAGGATGATGCTGTGCTTCTTGCCCCGCCTGATGGAGAGAAAACACATGCGGGCGTCAGAGGAGTCAACAGGATGAAGCCTAGGTGCCGTCCATCATCTCGAAGGTTCTGACACATCCACCAGACAGAGGCTCCAGATGAGCAGGGGGCCTCCAGACAGAACAAGAATCTCTCCTGAAATAGCGGGATGCCACAGGGCGTTCCAGAAAAGAATGCAATCAAGTTTGACTCCGTTGGATGGACAACACGCATTTCATTGCCAAACCCGGTCAGCTCGTCCCATCCACAGAGTCGGCGTGTTCTCACGCTTGACCATGTTGGGAAAATTTTCAAATCTGTGCCCATAAAGCGAAGTCGCAGGAATGTAACAGCCCAGATCTGCCTGATCATTCCCAGGGCTATTTTTACATTTGTCTGGATGTAGGAAAGGGGCACATGCCGTGGGGGGTTCGGGAAGAGCTGCTTTGCTGTGTATCAATTCAAGACTACCGGGTTTTTCTCTTCTCCGGGAAGATGGAGTCCACCAAAGAGCTTCTAGGCTCTTTGTCATTGGGAACTCCAGTTTACACACCTCGCTTCACCTGTGTTTCCTTCTCGCTTCATTCCTCATGAGGAAGCCAAGAGCCGGCCCCTCCCCAATTCTGTTCCCACGGGGCTCACCCCACCTTATGCAAAGGAGGACGAAAGCACCGAGCAGGCGACAGAGAAGATGATAAATGGGAAGAAATGTGAGTCCTGGCTACCTGGGGGCAGCAAAGGCTTTGAGACTGGGAGAAAGCAGAAGCCAGTGGACAGAGGGAAAACAGAGCCAGCCCGCCAGCATGGAGCAGGGAAGCGGCTAGGGCTCTCAGGGGCAGAATCGCCCTTCCATCACTCTGCTGGCCTCTCATCCCTGCCCATCAGGGCTTCCTCTGTAAAGGAGTCTGGCAGTAACTTCTGGTTTGACGGTTGTGTTAGAGGGGACAGGAACAGACATCGCCCTGGGCACACTGTACTATTGTGATGATGGATTCTCCGTCATCGATGAAACAATTCTATTTCTTATTCTTGAGACCAGATCAGAGGGGAAAGTAGGGTGTCAAAAGGTGGGGGGTTTTTATTCTTTTAAAGGAGAAAGGAAAGCCAGCTGCATAGTCCTATAAAAGCATGCAGTGGCCTCCCGCCCTGCAGCTGCTTGTAGGTAGAGAACCTGCATCGGGTCCTTTCAAATCCCCAGGGTCCCCCTCCCTCTGCCCCTTCCCACTTTGTTCATTTGATTGATTTACATATGCTGTGTGCAAGGCACTAATCCTAAAGAGCTTACAATGAATCCACAGCCCTGACCCATCTTCCGAAGATGGATTTGAGATTTCTAGGAGGGCACACTTCTTCAAAACTTTCTTACACACATACACACACACACACACACACACACACACATACACACACACGTTTTCTCTCTCACAATCCTGGTGTTGACACTCTTTCAATTCCTTTAACGGTACCAGAAAGAAAGTTTCCGTCAGTGCCCTGTGCTCAATCATTGAAGGGCCTTCTTTGTGAACTTCCAGGAAAGGTGTTCTGGGGCGGGGGTGTCTTGGCGGGGGGAGCCTCCCGCAGAGCTGGGAGCAGAGACTGAGGAAGCCCTGAGGGGAGCCAGGCCCCAGCCTGGAGGAAAAGCAAACCTGGAGCACCGTCAGTCCTCAGTCCGCAGCCCTGTTATCAGCATTAGGAGTCGATGATGAATACCAGACGACAGGAGGCAGAGCACATGCTTTGGATGCCCTGAGTGGGGAAGCAAGGATGGCCAGGGAAACAGTTCAGAATACCTCAGGTTCTGGAAAGTTCAAAGGGCCCTCACTTTTATCTTCAAACAACTGCAGAGTCACATTTTGAGGAAGCGCTTAAGTTTTCCCAGAGATCTCCGCAGTCCCCCAGTGAGAGCGTGGGGCGGTCGCTCTAGGATTCCAGGCGCCTTCATGAAAGGCAGGACAGTCTCTGAGGCGTCCCTGGAGGGCCAGCCCCTCTGAGGTACCGTCCCTTCTGTGCTTGTGCCTCGAGGAACCAGGCAATCGGATGGGTTAAGCCAAACCCTGGTGTAACTTAAGAGACCACAGCACAAAAAAGGCCTATTTTATAGTAGTTTTCTCTCTTACCATTCCAATTCTGTACCCTCCTTCCTTGCCTGCCCTTGTACACAAAACCCTGAGATGGGAGGAATCACTGTGGAAATTCTCAGAATAGAGCCAAGGTCTATGGAAGCCACCTCAGGGGCTGAGGTGCCAAATCCCAGGAGTGACTGGCAGAGGAGGGAGCTGGCCAAGGCGGAGACAAGTGGCGGTGAGTGCAGGCAGGTCCCCAGAACGTGTCCCTCATCCCCCACTCCTCCCTCACCCACCTCCATTTTTCCCATCTTTGATGTGGGTACCGTCACTGTGCCCATTTTACAGACGAGGAAAGCAAAGCCTTTAGGAATGATGTAACCTCCATAAAGTCAGAGGGCCGTTGGAAATCGAATCAGGCCTGCAGGCAGAGGGTCTGGCTCCACAGTCACCAGCCGCACCCTGCCTTTTGCTGTGCAGCTGCCTCACTATACAACCTTCTCCACTTTTTTTAGTGGTTTAACCTCAATGCTAAAATCTATTAAAAAGGACACACATAAAAATTAAAATGCAAAAACCTAAGAAAACGTTGCCAAACCAAATAATGAAAATAGTAGAACAGGACCAAATCAGGTTTCTACTAAGACTTCAAGGATTACAGGACGTTTAATGTTTTATTTATATATATCAAATGCCAATGTATAAAGGGCACCCGTCATAAAATGCCTTTAAATCTGATTAATGTTGATATACGAGTATTAGAGAAAAGTTGATTTTCATGCATTTCCTTTGTACATGGCCATATCTCACTGCTGTTATTAATTCTAAAAATCCTTGGGCCAATTCTTTTATGGGCATAATCATGTCATCTATTAAAAATAATCACTTTATCCCCAGGCTTTTTGTAGGAAGTATGCCCTTGTCTTCTGTTTCATGGCTAAAACTTTCAAGGGAAAATTAAATTATCATGGGTAGATTTTCCCCCTGCCCCCAGTGGGATACTATGTCAGTTTGGGTTTGGAAAATAATATTCATAACAGTTGTTAAAATTCGTGGAATGCTTATCACGTGCCGGACAAGAGTCTGAGTACTTTATACAGATTTGATCTTCAAAAAATTCCTATAAAGTAGGTAACATTATTGCCATTTTTAAAATGAGGAAATGGAGGCCCAGAAGGGCTAAGCAACATAGCTGAAGTCACACAGCTAGAAAGTCATAGAGCTCAGATTCAACCCAGGCAGTGGAACCCACAGCCTGTGCTCCCATCACCTCCCTGATGGGTGTTCCTTCATCCCCTCCCTCATTCCACTCTATATGCGGTGCACGCTGCACGCTCTGTCTCAAGGCAACAGCAACCTGGAGATCCTGCCTGACCCGCAGGTTTTGGACGTAAGACTACAACATCAGTTCTTACCCGAATTTCCCCCCACTGGCCCACTCTACAGACTTCAGACTTGCCAGTCACCACAACGGAGTGAGCCAATTACTTCAAGGAAATCTCTCCAGATATTCTCGGTAGACCAGATAGATTAGATGAGAAAGATTAGACCAGATGGATGGGTAGAGAGATAGCTTGTGGGTTCCATTTCTCTAGAGAACCAAATACAAACTTTGGTGTCTGCCTTCATGGAACTTCCATGTTCCAAAAATCAGTGGGTTCTGCATAAACACTTGAATGCTCCTTTCCTCCCTGATGTTGACGTGCTGTATCCGTTTCACAGCTGCCCCTCCTTCTGAGTTCGCCTGCTTGCAGCAGGGTGACCCTGAGGCAGAAGCTATTTCATTTGACCTGAAACTCCCCAGGGAGACTCAGATTCCATTCCTATCAGCACAGCCACTGCCGGGGAAACATCACCACTTTGGCGATTAGCCACAGCCAATCAGGTATCCACACCCAAGGCCAGTGCTACCCAAGTGACAAGAAAGCTATCTAAAATAGGCACTCAATTCAAGGGAACTCCAATCAAGGCAAACATGCCAGGGATGTGAGGGTGCTGCTGGGGAAGGAACTTTTCAAAACTTCCTGGCTTCTCAGAATACACCAAGTTTCTCCTACAACCATGCCTATGGCTTGGGGTGGGAATTGGGTGGGGCGGGGTGTGAGAACAAGGGTTGGTTTAACCAAGTAAGTCTTCCATGTTTCAATTCTGCCCCAGTCTCTCAAGAGAATATTTTTATTTGTTTTTAACATATTTGTATTGATTTCAGAAAGGAAAGGGAGAAAAACATCAATGATGAGAATTACCGATCAGGTTCCTCCTCCTACTGGGGATCGAGCCCATAACCCCGAGCATGTGCCTTCACCTGGAATCTAACAGTGACCTCCGAGTTCACAGATGGGATGCTCCACCTCTGAGCCACACTGGTCAAGCTCAAGAGAATATTTTTACAAGAATAACATATGGCGTCTTTTTGTGGCTATAAGAGCAAGTGCATACATTAATTTATTAAGTGGCATGCAGCCAAAAACTTGATGACTTTTTCTTGCAACCAACAGCAAAATGAATGCCCCCAATCATTCCTCCATTCAAATTGGAACTAAACTATGATTTCAATCAAGAGTAGAAAACACGTTTGACCACATGGCAGAAGCAGAAATTAGGAACCCCTCAGCAATGGCCCCGGGAATAAGCTTCCTTTTACTAAGCTTCTGGAGCGGTGAGGTGCAGCCAGTGTTCCGACTGAGGGATAAAGAGATGAAGAAGGATTTGAATTAGTCATCAGCAAGTGAAAAAGATAGTGTTAGCTGAGATTATTTGCTCAAAAACTTCAAGAGAGCCAGTTGCAACAACATTCATCCCCAGATGCATTCTGGTCTCTCCTAGAAGACAGTAGAGGTGAAAAGCACAGACTCTGGAGCCAGCTGTGTGATCTTAGCCTCTCTGAGCTCCAGCTTCCTTGTCTGTAAAGTGGGAAAATAATATTATGCCATTTGGTATCATACCTA